TCATTGAAAATTTCACGTAAAATTGAATGTATATTGTCAAGATCAATTATACAAGACAGAAAAGGGTTATTGAATGCCAAATTATTTAGTTTTTCTCTATTTAAATTTTGATATATTTTCTTCACTATATTGACTTCAATACATTGTTCACCATATTGAACTTTAACCTTCCATATGTCCTCCAAAATTCCCTACCAATATAAGAATATTTAACTTAGATATGATCTTTTATAAGATAAAAAATAAAGTTAATCTATTTAATATTTAAACTAAATTACCTCCGGCTCTTTAATTGTCATGTAAATCAAGCTTTTAATAATTTCCCGCGTCTTCTTAAGATGCGGTTTATAAAATCTAACAAAAAATTCTGACAGAAATTCCAGTCTCAAAAACGGCTAGTCTTCTACTCAATTGTTCGATAAATTTACTATTATTCGCAGGTATACACAGACCTGAAATTTAATAAGAATTTTTTTTTTTAGTTATTATAATGTTGATAAAATAAATATTAAATTTGATTTACCTTTAGCACTTAGGAGATGTTTCCAACATCAAAATTAAAATTAAGACTTAAAGCTACTAATAAATGATAAGCCGCCAGTCTCAAATTTAGATCATTACTTCTGATGTTTAAAAGGGACATACAGAGTACCAGGCATCCCACTTGGACTTATAGTTCTTGCTATTATGCTAACTGGTTTTGTTATTTGATACCGCTCCTTTAACGTACAAGCTTGTTTAATTTTATTATTATTATATAATGATAATATCAATGCTTCATAGAATTTATTAAATTACCTTTGATGGCCTTATTGCATGCATAATAGCATCTCGCTTTGGACTCGTAAAAATATATGTAGGTCACCCATGATCTTGCTTGATGATAAGTTCGTTATCATCATTCCTATGAGTGGAGTTGGTTATATCTTCGATATCCAATATATGATAAACATCATTTAATTGACAATTCAATCCATTGTCTTCTTAGCTATATTAATTGAAAATCAATTCGAATTGTAATATGTTAACTTTGGAAAGGAAAAAAAAACTTCTTAACTTACCGTTAGGATTTGGATAAATTTGCTACTTATTTTTATTGTGACAGGAATATGAATTCTATAATGAGAAATTTTAGTTACAGATGTGTGACTTCTTTTTTGTGCAGTGCTATAAAAAAAACAATAATGATGCCAGTGTATAAAATTTAGACCAAAAGTCATGTGCACAAGTTGTACTAAAAATAGAAAATTAATGCATGTATTACATA